CCTGCGACACTAGCATTACTCTACACTAGCATTACTCTTGCCATTTCTTGAAGGGTCATGTTCTTACGCTCCACAACTCCATTCTGCTGTGGAGTGATGGGGGAAGAAAACTGGTGAAATATACCACGTGATTCACAAAATAACTCAAAACCACGGTTCTCAAATTCCTTACCATGGTCACTCCTGATTGCCACGAGGTTGGTTCGTTTTTCATTTTCAAGTTTTAACACGAGTTTTTGGAAAGCATCAAGTGCTTCAGACTTATCTTTAAGAAAGTCGACCCAAGAAAATTTAGAAAAATCATCCACACAGACTAGAATATACTTCTTACCACTGTAGCTTTCGACCTGAATTGGTCCCATCAGGTCCATGTAGATCAGCTCCATTACACGGTTTGTACTGACCTCTGTCAACCTCTTATGCGAAGCCCTTTTCTGTTTGCCCATTTGACATGATCCACAAACTCGTGGTTCTTCCTTCTTCAGCTTGGGCAATCCTCGAACAGCCCCTGTGGAAGAGAGTTCAATCAGGTGAGGACAATTAATGTGACCTAGCTTTTGATGCCAGAATTCAGTCAAATAAATACTGGTTTTGTTACATTTCAAATCAAGTTCCACAAGATAACAGTTATCCCTGGACCTAGTACCAATAAGAACATGTTTATTTTCTTGATCAGACACATGACACTGAGTCTTAGTAAAATTCACATACAAACCCTGGTCACATAATTGACTGATACTCAGAAGATTGGCTTTCAAGTTTTGAACCAAAAGAACATTTTTAAGTCTGGGCAAACCAAGAACATTCAAGCACCCTACTCCAGGAACCTTATTCTTCGCTCCATCACCGAAAGTTACTGAACTAGAAGAGACAGGCATAATATTGGTCAAGTTAGACCTCAAACCTGTCATATGACGAGAGCATCCACTATCAAAATACCAGTCAAAGTTAGATGTGGATTTCAAAGCAAGTATAGAAGACAGACATACGTTCTTACGTTCCTTGGGAACCCAGATCGTTTTCTGTTCATGATTTACTATATCAACTTTCATGCTTTCAGGGGAACACCATGAGGACTCCAGTCATTAATTCTACCCGTGTATATATCATTATGCATTCTGTAACACTTGGGATGAATGTGACCGCGAATCCCACAGTAGTGACAAACGGGTACAAAGTTCTTACCAGTATTCTTGTGCTGAGCGTTTGGGGAGTATGGCTTACCTTTCTTGGAGTCAATTGAGTATCCTTCTTTAACGAAAGTTAGATCAGCCTTACTCAGTGATGAGGTTGATTCTTCAACCTTCCCTTTCAGTTTCTGGTTTTGGACATTCTTACTTGGGTTGGATGAACCAATCTGCTGACTCAGTTTTTGAACTTCAGCATATGACGCCCTTGGCTTGTTGATCATTCGGACAACTTCTTCACTCTTACTAAGCCTTTCTTCATGGGTTGAACAGTGACTCCGAAGTGCCACATGTTCCTCCATTACACGCCCGAGTTCTTCCTTGAGAACAACTATTTCAGTTTCTCTTTCACCTGCAAGACTTTGCATAGCAAACAATTCGTTACGCAGAGATTCGATGGTAAAATTTTGTTCTTCACTTGCCTGCTTGTTGAGTTTATCTCCATGCTCAACCAGTGCAAGTTTTGCGAAACAGCTGTTTAGGTCCTTGTCTTGTTTTCCAATGTGAAGGTCTGATTTGATGAGTTTCTCGTTTAGATCAACAGTCATCACCCTCATCTTCTGAAGTTCGATCCGAAGATAGTCAATCTCCTTCTCACGTTCGGCAGAACGTTGTTCCATAGCCTTCATCTTCTGTTTTTGAGCCTGATACTTGTTGATGATGTCCCTTGCCTTGAGACACTTTTCGATGGCGTACTTGTGAAGTAAAAGATTTTCGGCAGCTGGGTCCGAGAATTCATCAGAGTCCACCTCGCTCAAGTTTTTCGCATAAGAACCTGCATCAGATTCAACATCAGTTAGATGAACAGAGGAAGTAAAACAGTTATATTTATTAAGAAGACATTTAGCAGAATTATTAGAGTAGTTAGAGTTCTCAGTCTTTTCAGATTCTCCCTCCTCATCATCACTGGAATTAGACCATGTAGCCTTGAACGTCTTGTTCTTCTTCTTGAAGTTAGGACATTCTTTTTGAAAGTGACCGAATCCCCTGCATTCACGACATTGATCTTTTTCAACACCCTGGTTCAAGTTCTGAGATTTGCTCAGTTGCATGCTGGAACGTTTTTATCCAAATTGCTGAAGCTGGTTCCTACCACTTTCAAAGGATTTATTTCCCTGGAACCTTTTCTTCTGGAACTTTTTTAGCTTCGAGACATTCTTGGCGAGAACAGTGAGAGCCTTGGTGATTTCATCATGATCAAAAGATTCCTCATCGAATTCTTCATCTTCAGCTACTGAAGTACGCACCTTGGCCTTTAACGCTAAGCCTTTCCCTTTGCTTATCCTCATAGAATCAAATCCATGATTGATTCTAAAAGTGCGAAGCTCACTGAGAAGGTCATCAATACCAAGTTTCTGAATTCTCTGAAAATTTTCTAGTGCTGTAATCTTGATCCCAAACCTATCTGGTAGAGTTTTCATTAATTTCTGAACTTGTCTAGCTTCTGGGATCGGTTCGCCAAGCATAGCACTTCGGTTTACTAGTTCGCAAAACCGAGCATAGTACATGTCAATGGTTTCATCCTCCCTCATACGGATCTCATCGAGCTCAGTTGAGACTCTTTGGAGCTTTGACGTTTTAACCGCGTTTGTGCCTTCAAACTGTCTTTCCAAGATCCTCCAAGCTTCTTGAGCGGTAGTGCACTGAATTATTATCTTGTGCCGGGTGGGATCTACAGCAGATATGATAGCATATAAAGCTCGAAAATTAGCCTCTTCTGCTTGCTTTTCATCGTCGGTCCAGATACTCCTTGGTTTTTCAACCAGTACTTTGGTCTCACCACCCTTAGTTTCAGCAGGAACTTTTTCTTGGAGGGGTAAAGTCCAACCATTCTCAACAGCCTGCCATGTGCCTTTACCAAGAGATCGAAGGAAGATCACCATCATGGATTTCCAGTACGAGTAGTTGGAACCATCAAGAAACGGAGGGCGCGTAACAGACATCCCATCATGACTCATGGTGCCCAATACACAGTCCCAAAGATCTTTATCCCGTAGTTAGAACAAGAACACTGCTGTGGTGCCAATTGAAACGTATAATTATCACGGAGTGCGCTATTTGTAGTGCTAAATTAAGAACTGTAGAATGCGGAAGCAGTAAACCGAAGATTATAAAACTCTTCAGGGAAGTATCCCACTTCCCCTCAGAGCTCTTTCATTGATAGATCAAACACGAACATAGTTTGGACTTACAAAGACTCGAACTCCCTTCAAGCCTAGCCAACACTACTCAGATCCTATCAACTATTTCTCCAGCCACGTCCCGTGGACTTTTTATCCTACACTTACTCCCTAAGTGTAAAAGAAAAAATAGTTTGATGAAAACAAAGAAACTAACAAAAAACAGCTTCAGTCCTTGAGTGTGTAAGAACTCTTGTACTGAACTGTGTACAACTGAATAGAACAGAAAATATGAAGCTCGAGTATTGCTCTAAAAATCTCTCTGACTTCAGCAGCCGCAATAGGAGCTTCCTCTAGGGTATTTATATAAACTCTTTAGGGTTGGAGTCTTCTACAAGGCATAGGACTCCAAGCTTGATTTCCTTCCATAGTTGTAGCATATCTTTGGTAAGTGAATCTTTCATTCTCTCTCTCCTTGATCCGCTAACTATGCACGGCTCTTCCTTTCTTTATCTCTATCACGTCCGATTACCTACAAAATAAAATACCATAATAAGACCCATAATATCTTATATATAGAATATAAAATAACTCAATTAAGGAAATAAAATATTTGAAGATCTTCCCTTTTTCTGTGGTTACAGGTGCTCGTTCGAACTAACAAACTAATGCCAAATAAAAATATCTTTCATATTGTGTTTCTGTAAACACAAGAGATGAACTAGTACTATTTATTTTATTTTTACAGGGCCTGCCAAATGAATTCATTTTTTCTTATCTTTTTTTCGTAAATTTATTAATATTAATTAAGACTAATTAGCTCATTCTTATATATAGCTACAGATTTGATGACGAACCCGTCATTTTATTTTGAGGTGATTGGATTATTATATCTGATTGGATAATTTCTTGGTTGACTTCGTCCACTTGATAGCAAAATCCGCTAGCCTATAATTTAATTTAACTTAAAAAAAAAAAAAAAAAGAACACCAAAATCTTTAGTTACTTTTGGTTCATTGCAATTGTGGGTCAGTTTACACTAACCTATTGATCCTCAGCTAGTTGTAGCTGCAATTTTACCTCGGACTTAGATACCCACGGAATAAAGGGAACCCTTTGTTATTTAGCCGGCCACAGTACTCAGAGTTATACCTCGACTAATCTGTTAGTCGACCCGAGTCGCCCACCTGACAATGGTGGGAGAGTCTGTGAGTCTTCCAACAAAGGTTTTCTGCATCCACAAAGACTCGAACCCGATACTTTGCTTAAGCGAAATCAAGCTGCTTACCACTTGAGTCGATGTAAAGAACCCTTTTGAACAACATTCATTTTCACACTGAATTAGACCTCTCCCCAACCAAAGAAAAATTCTGCCTAGGCTATCATTATTCATGATAAACAAAGCCATAAAATAAGGGGGAAAAAAAAAGTAAAACCTAAAAATGGGATCAACTTTATTCTATTTTATTATTATTATTTTTTTTTCTAGCTTCACTTGGCCATATATGTCTATAAAACCTCCTCAAAGTCATTTGAAATCCTTCCCAAGCCAGCTGATCAGTGATCAATCAGTTCTCAAAAAACACATTAACCACAAGAAATAAAAAAAAAAAAAAAAAA